TGCCAAAGAAGCAAGGCCCCGACTTGGTCATTTCACACGGGAACATCTTAATCAGTCTATTGTCATAAGCAAGACGTCTTATTTATGTTTAGACTAAAACGTAGGTATACATGACATGGGAAATTCCCTGACTTGTTGTTACGTTAACCCAAGACAAAATGGTGTCCTAAAATCTGAACTCCATATTTACTGAATATGGGTAAGAGGTAATTTATTAAAGATACATTGCATGAAAAACAATATTTTCCATTTCTAACAAATTGTCAGTTTGCAGAATCTCTTAAAGACAAAGTTCACAGTTGAAAAAACCCAAAAAACAACTACTTAATATATGCATATGCTCATAACAGTATGATACCCGAAGAAGGAGTCAGTATGGTTTAAAATGGCTTCACTGTCACTTGAAAGACATTCCTTCTTTTAAAGAACTGCTAGTTAGTATATATACAGGGTTTAAAATTTCCACTCTCCGCTAGCCATTGTCCAGTAAAAATTCAGTACTAATGAGAAGAGATTCAGCCATAATTAGTGTGCCACGGACGCTCCAGCCTTCCTGTGACAAATAACCTTTTAGTCAGGCGAATAGGATATACAATATCTCACAAAAGTGAGTACGCCCCTCACATTTTTGTAAATATTTTATTATATCTTTTTATGTGACAACAACAAAGAAATGACACACTGCTACAATGTAAAATAGTAAGGGTCCAGCCTGTATAACAGTGTAAATCTGCTGTCCCCTCAAAATAACTTACACACAGCCATTAATGTCTAAACCATTGGCAACAAAAAGTGAGTACACCCCTAAGTGGAAATGTCCAAATTGGACCAATTTAGCCATTTTTTCCTCCCCGGTGTCATGTGACTCTTTAGTGTTACAAGGTCTCCGGTGTGAATGGGGAGCAGGTGTGTTAAATTTGGTTTTATCACTCTCACGCTCTCTCATACTGGTCACTGGAAGTTCAACATGGTACCTCAAGGCAAAAAATAATTGTTGCTCTACATAAAGATTGCCTAGACTATAAGAAGATTGCCAAGACCCTGAAACTGAGATGCAGCACGGTGGGCAAGACCATACAGCGGTTTCACAGGACAGGTTCCACTCAGAAGAGGCCTCTCCATGGTCAACCAAAGAAGTTGAGTGCACGTGCGCAGCATTAAATCCAGAGGTTGTCTTTAAGAAACAGCCGTGTGAGTGCTGCCAGCATTGCTGCAGAGGTTGAAGGGGTGGGGGGTCAGCCTGTCAGTGCTCAGACCATACGATGCACACTGCATCAAATTGGTCTGCATGCACTGGTGTACATACCGCTGTCGCAGGGGTCGCGGCTGCGACCGGGCCCGTTACTCTAGGGGGCCCGGCCGCACTGCATACCCCTGCGACCGGGTACCCACCCACACTATTTGCCATCCAAGGGGTCAATCGGGTGGTCCATGCTGTCAGGGGTTGTAAGGGGGCCCGGCCAGCGCTGGGCGCTTTAACAGCATGACCCGGGCCCCCTGTGCCTGAGCCACCACTAGACCTGCACATAAAAGGTAGGAAACAGGAGGGTGACTTAAATATTATGTGAGTGTGTGTTTGTTTGTATGTATGTGTCTGTCTGTGTGCCTGTCTGCCTGTATGTGTGTGTGTCTGCCTGTATGTATGTGTGCCTGTTTGTATGTATGTCTTTGTATGTGTATCTGTCTCTGTGTCTGTATGTGTGTGTGTCAGCCTGTATGTATGTGTGTGTGTGCGAGCGCTTTTCTGTTTGTATGTATGTGCGTCTTGTGTGTGTGTCAGTATGTATGTGTGTGTCTGAATGTGTGCCCGACTGCATGTCTGTCTGTATGTGTGTGTCTGCCTGTCTGCGTCTGCCTGTGTGTATGTATGTATGTGTGTTGTGTGTGTCTGTCTGTATGTGTCGATCTGTATGTATGTGTCTCTCGTTGTGTGTGTCTGTATGTATGTGTCTGTATGTGTGCCTGTATGTGTGCCTGTCTGTATGTATGTGTCTGTGTGTGTGTCGGTCTGTATGTATGTCTGTGTGTATGTGTCTGTATGTATCTGTCTGTATGTGTCTATGTGTGTGTGTCGGGGGAGTAGGGAGGGGGGCCCACAGATCAGTTTCACACCGGGGCCCCATGGATTGTGTGTACGCCACTGTCTGCATGGCTGTCATCCCAGAAGATAATGCACAAGAAAGATCGCAAACTGCTCGTACTGAAGACGAGCAGACTAAGGACATGTATTACTGGAACCATGTCCTGTGGTCCAATGAGACAAATATAAACTTATTTGTTTCAGATGGTGTCAAGCTTGTGTGGCGGCAACAAGGTGAGGAGTACAAAGACAAGTGTGTTGAGGGGGCGTGGCTTGGCGACTGATGGAGTAGGATGCATGCTGCATGAGGCCCCAACCCGCACAAGCCAATTATCTCCGGGATACGTGGCAACAGTACAATGCTAGCACACTGTCTACGTCTGGCCCTACGTTCCTTTGGTAGGCTGGGGTTAGTGGATTGCTGGAGGGTGTTGCACCCGTATGACAGATACTTTACCTATTACTCAGCCATATACAAGCATTATAGTCGCATAGACTATGTATTTATGTCGCAGGAATACTTAACACTACTCCAGGACGCATACATAGGGATCATAAACCAATCAGATCATGGTACGCACCAGCTCGCTCTGTTTAAACCTAAAGAACGCCAATGGAAGCTCAATGAAAGCCTACTGACTGACTTGGAGGCCTGTTTCTCCGCCACTCAACTCCTCACTCAAAACTTCGAGACCAATGACTCTCCCAACATACCCCCACTGATGTTATGGGAAGCACACAAGTGTGTCATTCGCGGCCACTACATTACCATATGCACCTAACATAAACGGGACAGGGCACAACACATAGTTGACCTGACGAACAGTATAGCAGACCTAGAACACTCACAAAAACACACCCTAGATGATGACACATACTTGCGGCTGACAGAAGTCTGCAGGTAGCTAAGAGACCACCTTACCCAGGGGCTCCTACACACCATGAGGAAATCCGACAGATTTTTCTTTGAGCATTCAAAAGCAACAAAAGTGGGCGCTTGCTGGCAAAGATGCTTAGGGAATAGAGAAGGAAATAGCACGTCTACAAGACCAATGTCCAGGGACGAGGATGCACCAGACTGCTGGAGGGCATACTGGAGGCATTCCAGACCTATTACATGGACCTCTACAACCAGTCACAAGCCAAACAACGCGACCCTGCGCACCATCACCGCCAATGGGTAACGGACTATCTTGAGAGACATATCTCTCAGAAACTCACACCAGAACTCGCTGCCGACCCCTAACACTCGAGGCGCCATGTAACAATCAAAACCGCTCCAGGCCCTGACGGCCTACCCCTGACCTACATTCGCACCTTCTGAGACATTCTACTGCCGAGGCTTTTGTCGGTCTGAACTCAATACATACAGGTGGACAGTTCCCAGCGGACTCCCTTGCCGCAGTCCTCACGGTCATCCCCAAAGAAGGCAGAGACCCAGCTAATTGCTCCAGCTATCGCCCGATTTCACTGCTGAATGTAGACCTGAAACTGTTCACAATTGCCCTGAGAATCACCCAGACCCTGCCGGACCTCTTGGTCATGTTAATCCCCGGACTGGAAGCTAGGGACAATATCATACGAGCGCTCAATGTCATTCACGCCGCCAATACCTCAGGAAGGGAGACCGTGCTTCTTTCAACGGATGCTGAAAAGGCGTTCGACCAAGTGTATTGGACATACCTGGCTGAAATGCTGCACCGTATGGGACTTGGCCCCCACCTGCGAACTTGGGTGTCGGGGTTATACTCTATACCGACATTTGCATCAACGGCGCACTGACGAAGCCTTTCCCTATCCATAATGGCACCCAGCAGGATTGTCCCCTGTCCCCGCTCCTGTTTGCCCTCTCTCTTGAACCATTTCTAAGGGCGGTCAGATGGGGGAATTACTTGGGTCCACATGGGCAACGAGGAGCACTGGGTGGCGGCCTATAACGATGATATACTCTTCTTCCTGCAACAACCACTGGACTCGGTGCCTAACCTATTGCAGGCATTTAGGATATATCACCAGGTGTCCAACAAGAAAAAGGGTAATGAGGGATGAGGAGCTAGCCACCCGTCTCAGCACAAAATTTGCCTTTACATGGTACGCAACTAAATTGCACTACTTGGGAACCTGGCTACCGATCTACGACCTCACGCAGCTCTACCAGCTGAACTTCCTCCCTCTCCACACAATACATCTCTTGGTTCGGCCGCATTAGCGCGGTCAAGATGAATGTATTGCAGCGCCTATTGTATCTGTTCCAGACACTACCAACAACGATCCTGCAGGCATTCTTCCGGACCCTGTCGACAGCCATTCGCCATTTGGTGTGGAACTAATGGCTGACATGTATTAGCAGGACCGTACTGGAACAACCAACGGGCGGTACAGGATTGCCCTCCATTACTACATACTTCCAGGTGAGTACGCCCCCTGAGCTCTAAAAGATGGGTTAGCATGGAAAACCAAGAAACAAGGGGTAAAATCCCCTCCAGGCTATGGCTCGGCGGAGCCACCTATACTGAACTACATACGGGCAACCCCATGATCGATACCACTCTCAGAGTCTGGTGCAACCTGCGGTACTCCCGGCAGCTCACCACGTCACCCAGGGCCGGCCTTAGGGGTGTGCGAGGTGTGCGGCCGCACAGGGCACCATGGACCAGGGGGTGCTGTGCGGCCCCACAGTTTACACATGGCTGGCCATGATAAAAAAAAAAAACACATTTGTGGCGGGGGCGGGGATTACCGTGTGGTGGGGGCGGGGCTAAAAGTGCCATGTAACTGCTGCAGGGGAAGCAGGAAGGAGCCCCTGCTTCCCCCAGCAACCAGAATCCAGGAGCTGCACTGCCTCCTGTCTGCCTCCACAAGGAACAGAGGTAACTATGTATGATTGTCTGCCTGTGTGTCTGTTGCTGTCTGCCCTTTTGTGTGTGTGTGTGGGTGTGTTTGACTGTCCGTGTGTTTGTCTGTGTGTTTGACTGTCTGCCTGTGGTTGTTACTGTCTGCCTGTGTGTGTGACTGTCTGTGTTTGACTGTCTACCTGTGTGTATGATTGTCTGCCTGCGTGTCTGACTGTGTCTGTGTTTATGACTGTGTGTGAGACTATCTGCCTGTGTGTGTGTGTAACTGTCTGCCTGTGTGTGTGTGACTGCCTGTGTGTGTGACTGCTTATGTGTGACTGTCTGGGTAGACTAGATGGGCTGAATGGTTCTTATCTGCCGTCACATTCTATGTTTCTATGTCTGCCTGTGTGTGTGTTTGTGTGGCTGTCTGTGTGTGTGTTTGTGTGTGGCTGTCTGCCTGTGTGTTTGTGTGTGGCTGTCTGTGTGTGGCTGTCTGCCTCTGTGTTTGTGTGTGGCTGTCTGCCTCTGTGTTTGTGTGTGGCTGTCTGCCTGTGTGTGTGTGTGGCTGTCTGTGTATGTTTGTGTGTGGCTGTCTGCCTGTGTGTTTGTGTGTGGCTGTCTGTGTGGCTGTCTGCCTCTGTGTTTGTGTGTGGCTGTCTGTGTGTGGCTGTCTTCTTGTGTGTTTGTGTGTGGCTGTCTGTGTGTGGCTCTCTGCCTGTGTGCTTGTGTGTGGCTGTCTGTGTGTGGCTGTCTACCTCTGTGTGTGTGACTGCCTATGTGTGACTGTCTGGGCAGACTAAATGGGCTGAATGGTTCTTATCTGCCATCACATTCTATGTTTCTGTGGCTGTCTGCATGTGGCTGTCTGCGTGTCTATGTAACAGGGTGTGTTGCAAGGGGGGGACGCTGTGAAGATTTTTCGCACAGGGCGCCCAAAGGCCTAAGGCCGGCCAAGACGTCACCGAACTCGCTCACCTCCATAACGCATAATCTGAACCTTGCGGGGAGGCTCCCCCCCACCGCCCTGAAAAAATTTCAGGTTACGGACTGGATAATATATACACCAGTGGAGCACTCGCAAACCTCTAGCAGACCTACTCACAGACCGAAGACCAACACTACTATACAAATTCCAGTACCATCAAGTTAGGACATACTACACATCCATTAGGGGTAGGGACCATCTCCATAGGACAACAACAATAAATATGGGAAATGGCTAAATCTAAAAAGAACAAAGACAAATAATAGTGTGACACAGTTAAACAGTATAAACGTGCACTATCATTGAATGCACTCACAAGATAGAAATATTGTTTGCACTCAAGGGTGCTTCTCTTGAATATGAACCATATTCACTTAATTTTTAATTTTATAGGTGTTTTACACCTTTTTCTATATTGCAATAAAGTTGCTGTCCTTTTCCCAACATGCATCTGGGGTCCTAATTTTGAGTGGGCATTACAGACCGTGGGGTGGGATTTTAAGACCCCATCATCATCGGGGGAGGCATCCTTGAGCGCAACCAACATTTCTATCTTGTGAGTGCATTCAATGATAGCGCACATTTATACTGTTTAACTGTGTTACACTATTATTTGTTTTTGTTCTTTTTAGATTTAGTCGTTTCCTATATTTCTTTTTGTTGTCTATATTCTATTTGAGAACACGATCTGGGAAGTGATCTCAGGGAGGCTATCCAATTTTATTATTAGATAAGTATAATTCATACTTATTACACACTATTCACACTTCAAATATTGTGGTGATAGTATTGTTTTAAATTTACCATCTCCATAGGACCCTGACGTTCTTTGAACACATATGCACATCTAGACAACATATCACGCATGGTGTATCGAACCTATACATCACTCTCCTCACAAGCAGGGATAGAGGTTTTAAAAGTGGGAATTGGAGACTGCGGTGACGCTCACTGATCAAAACTGGGACAAAATATTCCATAACATACTCCGTCACATTCATGACTCCATGCCTGGCGAATGGTGAAGGTGCGGCTCAGTCAAGGGAACCACGCTGCATATTTAGTGGCCCCTACATAATCCCGTACTGGCAGATGATTAATACGAAGATCAGGGAGATCGCAGACATGGACCTACCACTACTACCCCTGACGATGCTATCGAACCACACGCCCATTCCACTGCAGAAGTACAAAAAGTCCCTCACTATACACCTTTTTTCTGCGGCTAAATCTCTCATTCCCTTACACTGGACACGACCGGGAGTGCCCACCTTCCAGTAATGGGTAGACAAGGTCGAGGACATCTAAGGCATTGAAATGCTGAAGGCCTCCCTGCAGGATTGCTCGGACAAATGTGCCCTGACCTGGCACCCATGGATGGTTATGTATCCAGGGGGGCCGCATAGCCATGAAATGGACGACAGGAATAGAATTTGGGCGGCTCATCATACCATGGTGGAGCCGCCCACCCGAGGCCCCCTAGGATATATGCCAGGTCCACCTAGGATTAACCCTTTCTGCTGTAACATAGCAGTTTCAGAGAATGCTTTCCTATGAGACTGGCTGAATGTGAGCGGCTCTTGCCTCTCATGCACATTCAGCCGATGGAGGAGGGTCTTCAGCACTGAGGGAGCCCGGCGCTGGAGAAAGGTAAGTGTCTAACCCCTACCTCTCCATCCAGCCCGGCGGGAGTGGCACCTCAGGGCACTATAGTGCCAGGAAAACGAGTATGTTTTCCTGGCACTATAATGGCCCTTAATGGCTGTGTGTTGAGTTATTTTTAGGGGGACAGCAAATTTACACTGTTATACAGGCTGTACACTTACTACTTTACATTGTAGCAGAGTGTGATTTCTTCAGTGTTTTCACATGAAAATATATAAAATATTCACAAAAATGTGAGGGGTGTACTCACTTTTGTGAGATACTCTCTATATATATCTATCGATCTATCTATATATATAAATATATATATATATATATATACACATATATATATATATATATATATATATATGTATATATATATATATTTATGATGGTTTTAAATCCACCAGAATATTTCTTTAAAAAACATGAATGATCTTGTTACTAATACAAACAACAACATCATTGTGGTAATGGTAGCACACTCTGATAAATCACTGCAAATAGTTTTCATTTTCATTGTATAGCTAGCCATTTATGGCTCACACCTCTCCCAGTGAAAGTGATTGTAGTGGTTATGGTATTTAGAGTGACCCTTTAACCAGGATTTGGTACACATGTCTTTAGAATAAGACGTGGCTGGCATGCCACTGGTCCTTCAGGAATGAGTGATTCCAGCTGCATAATTTAGATCTATAAATGTCTGAAACTTTTACGTGCCTTTTTGCAGCCTGCCTAAGTTTCAGTGCTTCCCGTAATATCAAATACATTTTTTTCCCGTGACTATAACTTGCAGATTGCCATTATTGCCAACTTGAAAGTGGTTCATGTTTTAGCTTTCACCATATACAGCATATTTTAGCATCCGCTGACTCTTTTCTAGACGTTGTCAACTACATTATCAGGGTACACATTAGAATTCTGTGCCTACAGGCAACTGACATGTAAATGCAGCCCTTATTTCAGTGAAGCTCCAAGGCCAAGGACATGCTATGGACTAACTACCATCATTTTCAGCCAAGATAATTGTGTCCAGGTACCTCCTAAACCAGTGGATCTTACCTTAACACCTAGGTTTGTTGTCTAAATCTGGTCCCCATGACATTACAGTGGGCAGCAATGGCACATTATATTTATCAATGCTCTAGTAACTGCTCATAATAAATATGTTTCTGCATTCACTTCCTTCCTAAGTGCAATTATAAATGTAATTTTTTTAAATTGAAGAATAAGTTGCTACATTACTGTCACGTACGTGATTTGGGTCCCTGTCAAAAAAACTGTTGTGTTACTGCCCTAAACGTCAACATGGATATACATCTACTACTTAACTCATAACCAGGGCATAAATCCTAAACACTGCTCTGGTGTAGCATTGCTGGACCTTTTGCATTTACTGATAATTGGGATATTTAGAGGACTGCTGTCTAGGCATGTGATACACTGTTGATGGATGGGGCATTTATATCTACACACTGATATGCAAGAGGGGCCAACAGGTGGCTATCTATGTTCATATTCTGACTCCAATGATGCTTTGACAGCCTGTAGCACTACCAACGTGTCAATACCTTCGCTGAAGCAAAACACTAACAATTTCAGGTCAGTAACAGTAGAAGGAATGGACAACAGATAGACAATGTTATTTCACAATAATATAAACAACTTTTTGGATCAATGGTCTCAGTCATGTATGATAATAAATACAAACTGCAAACATACACCCAATATTATATAGGTAATAATCATGTGATACAAACATTGTGTGAGCTTTACTCACGGTCATATAACCATAGTAGTTAAAGGGACACTATAGGCACCCAGACCATTTCAGCTTATTGAAGGGGCCTGGGTGCAGTGCACACATTAGTCCTGCAATGTAAAACATACTAACATACTAAGACAGCCTCTAATGGTTGTCTATCAAGCAGACACTGGAGGCGCTTCCAGGATTTTACTGGTCTATAGGTCGCCATACTGATGCTGGACGTCCTCATGCTCTGCATGAGGACATTCAGCATCCATGAAAAAAAAATCACATAGGAAAGCACTGCTTTACTACAGGGAGGGCCTAATGCGCCTTGCTCGCCTTGCTCGCTGTGCATACGCACTAACCAGCCCCTGTCGGATGACATCGGAGGAGGTGGGGTGCATCGAATCGGGTAAGCGATTAAAGTGTTTTTACCCTTCATTGGCATAGGGAGGTGTGGGGGGTGGAGGGGGGTTGAGGGCTCTATAGTGTTAGGAATACAGATTTGGATTCCTAACACTATAGAATCAATTTTAATCTAGTAGCTAGATGAAATCTCTGCAGTCTGACAAACCATTGCCAGTTTTGAGAAATTTATATTTGTCAGTCACTATGACTGTAGTGGCTGTTTCACTTTGAAATCTCACTTTATTGAATAACCCTGAATGTTTCTACTTCTCCTCTTTGTATGCATTGTTTTCCTTGTCCGCAGGGTTGGACTGCCCCTGGGCAAAAAGAGATCAAGGGCCCCCTCCCAGTTCAAGGATTTTCGACTGCAAAATCAAAGATGTATTTTGTCATCCCCTCTTACACAGATATTGTAAGCTCACTGGTCAGCACAAGATACTGTGTATAGAATGCTGCAAACTAGTTTGATATTTTTTGCTAAGAATTGGACATGTAAAAAGCATAACTAATTATTTAAACTCCCAAAGCTATAAAATACATAAAAGTTGTATTGGTATCTGGTGTCACTTTAAGTAGACTATATTTCACTGTAACCTTTTTAAGATAGCAAGGCATTAATCAAATGAATCAATGATCTTGTCTCTGGAAGGGTCTCTGGTATATGCCTGCCTCAGCTCAGAATTGTATTCCCTTCATAACCGATGATGTGCCACTGCTGCCATTATATCAAAGGATTAGCCCATGAATCATGGCAAAGTAAATGTATTGTAATGAAAACCAACAATCTCAGGTTTCGTAATGATCGTTTGTCAATTGGTGCTCATTCCCTCACTCTCCATCTCGCTGAATCAAATGAAAACTGGACCGGCTGCTATTTGTCCCTGTGTCTCAGTCTGAATGGTCAATCTTCTATGTAAGAATTGGAAATCAAAACAATTTGTCCTCTATGGTGCAATTCTCTGTGAATTTAAATATTCTGTAAAAATAGCCAAATTGAAAAAACTTCTTCTATGCTTTCCATTCGTCTTGTCTGGCATTCGTCACTTTGAATTCTCAGTTTAGTGAATAACCCTATCTATCTATCTATCTTTTCTTTTTTTATTTTCAGTTCCGTGTTCTGGCAACATTAAAAGCTCTGTTCAGCTCCCCTTTTTTATTAAGACACCTCTACCCTCTAATCTATTTAGAGGTGACGTGCATACATCGATGTCATCTGCCTGTATGAACGCAGCAGAATAGACCTACAGTCAATCAAGTTTGCCGATCAGCAGGTGGGGGGGAATGCAAATAAAAAGACAATTATGAACTTTACTTTAAAAAAAAAAACTAAAAAGCTGCTCGATTTTCATTTTCCTACAGAGCACCACAATTATATTACACTTTCAAATCTTCCTTCAGCTTAAAAGATCCCTCTCTACATATCTCAAAACACAACGCACCTGTCATGGTTGATTATATATATTTTTTTACCTGTTCTATGTTAGATTTTGTATATATGTTAGGTATTAATATTGTTGTTTATGTATTTTTACTATTTTATTGTTCCCCATTGTTATGATGCCATTTTTGTGGACCCAGGACATACTTGAAAATGAGAGAAATCTCAATGTATCCTTCCTGGTAAAATATTTTATAAATAAATAAGTAAAATCTATGCAAAAATGCTTATTGAGATCTGAACAGGTCGGGCAATTTCTCCCTGCATTTGGCTGTGCATAGGCATAGCAGGCATCCCCGCACATTTCGATGTTCATTACTATTTACACGTGTAACATCTCTAATATTTAAGGGCAGACCGCACTGAACAGGATGATCACCCAACACCCTCTGAACCTTGGTCATTATTTGTTTTGGGCACAGACTTAGGTCGATTTGAAGGAAACATTAGTCATCAAGAGGTAGCGGTATGTGCAGTTGTAGCAGGGGGCTAATAGGAAAAATATATTTAGAGGAGAAGATGTGAGTGGGAGGCGAGAGTAAAGTTCACTTGTTTTGTTGAAGCTAGTCACTTATACCATAACCACAACTCTGTTTGCTTAGTTAAATTAAAAGTGAAAGTAAGTAAAAAGCCCACATTACATTTTTATCTCAATGAGCTGCTGGAGCAATATAGCATCAGTCTGCCAACATCATCGTCACAGTTTCCAGAATGATCAACCCACATCATTGCTCTATGTATTGGTAAACAGACCCAAACCATTACAGAGATTTTCCTTTTTTTAAATTTTAATTTCACTGTTGCTGGTGTGCACATTTTAATCTTTTCTGTTTGGGAAGATAAAGAAATACAAAAAAACTCATCCAGTTCTCATACTGATGAATGTGGGACTTCATTTCCAGAGGGTCAATGCAGGCACATGTCTTGTGTTGTTCCTGCGTTGGAAATGTTCCAATGTGCGTTTCGATTGCCTTCTCTAGTTGAACCATTAGTTTCTTTTTTGACGTCAATGGGAATCATGGAGGAATAGGAGACTCTAGCCTAGCAAGCCTGTAAAAATGATACATTGAAAACTGAAAAAACACTAAACAAATATCATAGATAGATAGATTTAGATTGATGCTGGCAGATGGAAAAGAAAAATATATAACAGTGAAGGAATACTGGTGGGAAGCTTAATATAAAAAAAACCCAAGGGGGCGGAGCCAAGCTACTAACCAGACCAGACTTGTGTTGCACAACCTCCCACATCTGGCACCCAATAATCGAGGACAAATCCGAGCTAAAACTCACCTGGATGCAGAGCTATATCAAGCTTGTTACTGAGACACCAGCGGTTCTGAACACACCTTCCGTGAGGCTCTCCGACACCGGCAAGCCCGACTCGAAGCTTTGCAACCTAGAAACATAGAAACATAGAATGTGACGGCAGATAAGAACCATTCGGCCCATCTAGTCTGCCCAATTTTCTAAATACTTTCATTAGTCTCTAGCCTTATCTTATAGTTAGGATAGCCTTATGCCTATCCCACGCATGCTTAAACTCCTTTACTGTGTTAACCTCTACCACTTCAGCTGGAAGGCTATTCCATGCATCCACTACCCTCTCAGTAAAGTAATACTAAAGGTTACTAAAGTAACCTGCCAGCGACAGGGCTGAGGAGAGACGACCGCTCACCTACTGCTTCGACTGGCGGTGAGGAAACTAACCAGTGCTGTCCCCCACCCCCTATGAACCAGCGGGAGTTATTCCGATCCCCCCTGGCTAGCCCCACACCGCAATCTGGCGACCGACGCAGGCCACATGGAGCACCCGACAGATGTTTCCAAGATGGAGGACGTGTTCTCTATACAGAGGCTGGAGATGCACAGGCCAGAGACGGTCCTACCAAGCTCGTTTGACCACATGCTGCAACGCCTGGACAAGGCATACCAGAGATTCTGGAAAAGGCTGGAGGTTAGGATGTCGACCCCACATGCCCAGTACAAGGGAAGTGAGCGCAAGGGCGAGAGCCGCGGAGAGCCTGGTCCCCCTCAGAGCAAAGCACCTTCACAAGCAATGGTGAAACCTTATCCTGGCACATCTTGGCTGAGGGCCACCCTGGCTAAGCCCGTAAAACATCCAACACGTCGGCGTAGATTAGACAACCGCAAGCAGCTGCGGACCACTCGAAGCCCCTGCAATCTCCCAATAGAGAGGGACTTGGAGCACCACGTTAGTGTCCTTGGATTCCAGATGCGGACCTCCTCTCAGACACAGGGAGGTGCGGGCGATACCCTGGCACACCCTATTCAAGCTGCATTGCCCGGAGTGATCCCCACTCTACCGAGCCAAGGCATTGGCTGACATGGACAAGTCATCCCGAGAACATCATCTCTCAGGGACACTGTTCAGAGACACATCTCTATAAGCTACAGCTGCTGCCACAGTAATCCATTGTCCCCATCTAAAATCAGGCTGATGTTACTATCGATCATAAGCTATTACTGTGTTTTCTGAATGCATGCTTTTATGTGACCACATTCCACGCTACACTGAGGCTGCTCAGGGGTTAATTCCACGACTAATACTGCACAGGCACATCTAGCCAACTTACTGGATGACATACCTTCTATGTTCAAACCCCAGCAGAGTTTTATATTTTATACTCCATACAATCTATTGTTGCCTAAGCTAAAAGAAAACCATTATGTTACTCACCAACATCTCGTTACTAACCTGAACTAAACTACAAAACTCTCATGTAACACATTCCTCTATCACATACATACCAAACTTTACTATGGAAATGAATACTGTAAAGCTTGTTCAAGTATACTTTTAATTTTTATTTTCATTTATTATCCACATGTCTAGCAAGTCTATATATAGTTACAGACACCAATTCCAGCTAGGACTAGATTCGATTATTCTGATTGTTGATAAGCCTGTTTGTATTTTCCTATTACTCTTGTTCTATAACAGAAAAAAAAAAAGTGCAGCATACCATGATTACTCAAAGCGATATACTGCAAACCTCTCTTATGTCATGTGACATTGCTGAAACGTGTATTTAACTCTGCACTCAAAAATAAAGAATTTAAAATAAAAAAATAAAAACACAAGTAGTTTCAGCTGGGAGGAGTTTTCAAGCTGGAGGAACTAAAGATATCAGATCTGTATGTTTTATAAAATCTATGAACGTTAATAAAAGAGGGGGATGATTGAATACTATGACAATAAAACAGATATTAACCTTGCACTCTTCTGTTTTTTATTATGGTACCCTACCCTAATCTGTCCGGCCAACAATTATTAACTAACGTTCAAGGGTTTATATCACAGGAGCACTCCATAAGATGCTTATGGGCTGGTCACCTATAGCATTCCAGGTTTTAAAATATGTTAAAGAACCGGAAAAAACACACACACACATTCCCAGTGCAGCTCCATTGAATCCATGCCAGCACCCACGCATACCACACAGAAAATCGTAGAATCTAGTAAAATGTGTTGACACTTTAATTTTAGAATGGTTTCTAAGAACCCTTTGAGTTAGTTGTTATATGAACTTTTATCTATGTAGATTATGAGGTGTTTTTTAATGTTGAAACACTAGGAATGATATGGGAAGGACATTAGAGGACAAATGTATGCAAGTTACGTTTAAGATTCTCTCTTTCAATCCTTACAATATTTTAGCGATGCTAAATGTGCATATACCTTTTATTATACATGTACAAGAAATCTAATAAAACTACAAATTGTTTAAAGAACTAAGATTAAAAAAATGGAAGTGTTAATTGTTGGAAATTCAAAGTGCAATCACATGAATTTATTTAATGCCAATATAGCCAAATTGAAAACATCTTGTTTGGAGAATTTTTCCCCAACATATGAAATGCATTTTAAATTTACAATAATTCACCCTTTACTGAGTAAAACTGATAGACATGTGTGGTCAACTTTTAACTTCTTAAGGAATATACATTGTATGTTGAAAACGTATTTTGGTGGGATGCTGTTATACTTGGATTAGTCAAGATACTGTTAAAAGGACACTATAGGCAACCAGACTGCTTCATCTTAATGAAGTTGTGTGGGTGCCATGTACCTGTAATTTTAGCCCAGCATATGAAAACAGTTGTTTTGCAGGAATTGCAGTGTGTTCATTGTAGGGTTAACAGCTGTCACGAACGCACCCTACTTCAAGAGTGTGCGTGACGTAGTTGTGGTGGTTAAAGTTCACTATTTGTCTGCACTAGACCGGAAATAATGACAAAATCCCACTTAACACCACCCACACTTAAACATAATACAACTATTACTATTTTAACACTGCCACCACCAAGACAATTTATAAATGAGGTGCCTTAGTCCCCCAGGTACATCAATTAAAAAAAAACACCAAATATTACTTAGCACAATATTTATGTAATTGCAAAACACTAATTAGTCTCTTCAGGTAATGTTATCTTTTTACCAGACAAAGGCAAAACTTCATAAAGGAAGATTTATTATGAGCAAAAAGAATAGTCACAGTGCCTAAAAAAAATTGTGATAAATAAAAAATACTACACCAACAACAGATGAAATCAAAAAGGATAAAATAACAGAGTCCTAATCACTAACTCAGCTCTTCAAAGTAAATACTTCTGCCGCAGGGTGTGTCTGCTAGGAAAGATGGTGACTCACTTAGAATAAGATTCTGGCCCCGAGCAAGTACCCAAGACAACTCAATATAATAATTTGTTATATACCCTCTGGATTCATCTCAAGTTTCCAAGCCAGGCCCTAGAGGCTGAGATAAAGAGTATCTACAGAAACAGTATGTAGCCACTCCATTGTGTTCCAGAAAACAACAACCCAAATAGAAACTTTTGGTTTTATCTCCTCTTCTATACTTGCCACAGAAATAATAATTGCCTCTATGAATTTGTTACCATTTTCCCATTCCAGAGATATGTAACATGTCTTTCTTGGGACCTAATATAGCAGACATCACAATACCTGCCATTCGGTTTAAGTTGTGCTACTCATGTTCAGGTTTAATTAAAAGATTGGGCTTGTGCCATTCCAAATATAATAAAAATTAGGCTTAATTATTAAGCTGTGGGTAAGTATGAATGATACTGGAACACAAGGGTCTTTATGAAACTAATACCATTACCATATCAAAGGATTGAACTATCAATTGAGTGTTTCAGGCCATATGGTCAAAGTCAGTTAGTTTACATTGAAACTAGACATACAGGCGGCTCAAGAGATCAAAAGAGTAATTTCTCTCTGCCATTTGTCCTATACCCAGGGGTCATTATTTTTTTTTATAATTCTTTATTTTTCATACGATAGGTAAAGCAGGCTCAAGCTGACATTTGGGCTTACGCAGAAGGCAATATTTGAGAGGTCATTCATAGCAATACAACATATAACTTTAATTTACATGACATTCCTCTTTGTGCTTGCTTTGTGCCCTGCCTTACATCGTGGATTTTATGTTTAAACCAGGCAATTTAGCTTTGTAAGGATCCCTAGTTCTACGCAAATCAGTTTCGTCTTTAGGTATCCTTGTTTCCTCACTAGTGTTATCATGCCTGGGTGAGTTAAAAATAAGTGATGGAAAAAAGGAAAAGAGTAGGAAAAGAAGAGGGCAGTGCCCCCGTGAACCAAGGGGTGAAAGAGGATGAAAAAGAGTGAGATCAGAATGAAAGAGTAAAGTCGAAGGGGGTGGGAGGGTGGTGAGAGCAAGAAGAATCAGATTTGGCGGGGGGGGGGTGACTAGGCTTTTAGAGTCTATGTCACCCTGGGTTCGCTGGTGTTGCTAGGCTCCTTTTTCTATCTATTCAGTCCCTCAATCTCCACTGGAGCCCACTAAGCTAGTGTCCCATGGTTCCCAGGGGTCATTATTGATGCACTACACAAGTTATATTAAATAGCAATATTATATAGTGCAACAATGAATCATGTACCCTTGACGTGACAACAGCCACCAGAGGTGCTTCTGCCGCATTAGCCAAGTGAAAATCGCCTATTTCAATCAGTAGGTCTCATAGAGACCATTTGATTGGTAAAGTGCAGCGTTTTGTTGCACATGCACTAGCCTCCCATGTTTCCCAATGGGAAACATTGCATTGGCTGAGATCATTTACACTGATGGACTCAGCCAAAGAGGTGGAGTGGCAGAGACCATAGCAGCGTGGACTGAAATGCAAGTAAATCTCACCTTTCAAAGTCTCACAGAGCAGTAGGGCCCTAAATATGTAGCAGTACATTATAGTGCAAGGAATATATGTTAATATAGTGCTCCTTTCGTTTCCCACATTAATATTGGAGGCATGTCCTCATGTGCTCAGTATACTTACTGCAAGTTTTGCCTCCATCTTTCTCCCATGTGAGCTTTTCTCCTTCTGGCGTCCTGTCCAACAACAGCCAGTGCATATTTATGGCTCCACCTCCTCAGGCAAGGTTGATGACATGCGTGCATCATCATGTCAATGGGGTCAAATTAACCAATTTCTGCCCACTTAAAGGTACATATACCCTTATTAGCTGTTGTGCTGTGCCATGTCATGATTTCCTTTTAGAGGTTATCAGAGAGTGCCTTTTTTCTTTCTTATATTCGTATACTTTTCTGACCTTGGCTTGCTATTTGACTATTCGCCATTCTGTTGTCCCTGACCTTTGACCTATCTTATCATATGTACTATTTTCTTTCTCTCTGACCTTGACTTGCTCTATACTACTCTATATTTGCATTAAGTCCAGTTATGTTAAGGCCAGGTAATATGCATGATTCTCTTGTGTCCTTCAACTCATAGTTTAGTCAACTTGGATTCTGCATGCTAAATCATAGTTATCCTGACATTAAACCCTCCCTGTTACCTGTTCTCACATAGTATACCTGGATGTAAAAGTACACACATTTCATAGAAACAGCAGTGTATTTGACTATTAATACCATTAAAAAGATTTTGTAGCCCCAACAACAGCCAAAGCATTATAGGACATTGGAAAGGGTCAATAAATGGCATTGAATTATATAGTGTTATGGTCACAGCTCCCAGCAGGCGCAGTTACGTGACCTCACCTAGCTTGCAGTAGATCACCTCCTGACCCACATACACTACAGACCCTGGCCAGAATGACATTCTGAAAGATGCGGCTGCTACAATATGGTTAATTTTTATAGCCTCGCCCACGAACATTGCATTAAGGACGCGAAGGTGGGTGATCGTGTCTTTGATGTGCACACACGTTTTGGAGTCACGAGGTCTGTTTTGACCAATCCTTGCATACCTAGGTTTACTTAAACCCTTAAGTGCCTTTTGTCAGTGCCCTGTCGTGGTTTCCAGAGAATGCGTTGGATA